TGAGGTGGAGCTGCTGTCCAGGAGTTCCTGGGCCTGTGGTCCGGGCAGAGGGGCACAGGGAGACGGTGGGGTGGAGCCAAGGAAAAGCCTTCCTGGGAGCTTCACTGAATCCTCAGAGAGGTTGTGGCCCTGGATCAGATGTGAACAGGCCCAGGGTCTGATCAGCCTTTTTCCTTCCTGAGTTAATATGTCACTGACAATGTTAATGTTAACATTAGTTTCACCCCAGTTCTGCAGGCCATGTGCAGGCATCTTTGTTCAGATCAATCAGCAAACATTTAGGGAGTCGCTGCTTCGTCCCTGTGTCTAAGAGGCACTTGAGGATTCAAAAGGAAATCTCATATTTGCCTCTCACTTTACCACATACATGTGAGGACTCTCACATGCATTGTCCATTTCATTTTCACAACCACCCTGTGGCGGAGATGTTGGTGATTATCTTGTTTGACAATTGAGAGAACTAAGGATAAGAGAATTAGTTAGGAACTTTGCCCAGAGTAGCGTAGAAAGGTGGGTGCAAATCTGGCATGCACCCAGTCTTCATCATCGTCATCAGTCATCATTTGAGTGCTTACTATGTACCAGACATGGTACTAAGCACTTTACATACATTTTCTCATTTTATTTCTCATACAACCTTGTGAAGTAGGGGGTGCATTAACCCCCATTTTATGAAATGCAGAAACAGCAGCTAAGGTCAAGGGGGAAACTTCCGCCAGTTGTCCTAACCCCTAAAGGTCCAAGCCTGACTCGAACCTGGCAGTCTGGCTTCAGAGGTTACACTGTTAACCCTTCTCCTCACCCTCGAGGCAGCCCATGCTGGGTCGGAGACAAGGCAATGCAGAGCGGTTCCGCAAAGAGAAATGGGTGGGACCCGCTGTAGGAATGCACATAGGGTTACGGGGTTCAGTGTGGGTGGGGTCATCCAGGAGGACTTTGGAGTGGATGAGCCTTATGTGGGAGGTAGAGGAGGGGTCCTGGTTAGGAGGCAGAGAAGAGCCTGGCCAGACCTGAGTGCTGGGTCCAAGCAGGGAGCCTGGGGTAGGGCCAGATGGCCAGAGCCGGAACACAGGGACAGCTGAACGGACACAGTTTACCCTCACCATGTACCCTCCTTACCCTTCAGGAGGCACGAGCTGGCTTGTTCTTGGAAGCAGGCTCTACTACATTGATTCCAGGGGCTTTATTTAGTTCCTTATTGCAGGCATTCATCTCTGGGAGGACTGCGGAGTCAGCATCGGGCACAGGACAGGGAAGGGGTGAGGCTTTGCCTTCCGGCATCCTCCCACTGCCTTTTCCCTTCCAGCTTGAGGCCAGGCCCAGGTCAATTGAACACAAAGAAGCATGAACAGTTCGTATTTCCCACATCAGCCAAGTCACTTCCTTAAAAAAAACCAAACTAAACAAAAATTAATTAGCTCCAACAGTCACAGATCTGCACCAGCTTTCTTAACAGCCAGCAGCTGGAAGGATCGTAAAGGTCGCCTAGCACAGCCCTCATCTGATGAGTGAATTGCTGGTTGGTTTTAGATCTGTTTGCCCATCTCTGGTGGGGAAGAATTCATTATCCTTAAGGCAATTCTGGTGGCCTGGGCTCTTCCTGGTAGGGAACCCCCACCTCAGCTCTCTGTGCATCCATATCAGTCTTCCTTCAAGACTCAACACCTTGAAAGTAGCAAATAAGCCTCATAGACATTTATTTATTTAGCAAATGTCTGGTGCATGCTATTTTCAACAGGCATTTTCATTAGTAGGAATCAATTATTCGCCACGTGTACACTATCAGGTGAAAGTGGGTACCAAATTATTAGTCTCCTGGGGGCATCTTCCTGATCTCTCTGGCCTTGGACAGGTAAGTAGAGACGAGAATGTGAAGAACTTGTCTGCACTTGGGGTTTAGGTCTACAGCCTGGGAGGCGCTATCGAAGAAAGGGAGAAAGATGATCACATTTGTGTTTTAGGAAAAAAAATTTTCAGGGCCGTTTGGAGATTCTATGGGGGCAAAATTTAGACTAGAGGGAAGGAGACTAGCTGGAAGGTTACTACAATGACGGAAGTAACGGACAGCAAGGGCCTGAACTCAGGTGGGGAAGTGGGATGGGGCAGCTGTGGGGAACCTGAGCAAGGGGTGCTGGTGCGGGGAGCCAGGATAGTTCCATGGGTTTGGACTTGGCTGGGTGGTGGCACCCCTGACTTTCCTAGAGAAAGGGATTTCCCAGTTATGAGACACCAGAGAGCTACTGTTGCCACAGAACTTGGGAAAAGATCTTGCCACAGCCTCAAGTCTCCCGTGAGGGTTAATTGCTTTGAAGACTTCATTCTCTGTTTTGGGTTTTTTT